AAAATTATTAAAATATTTTTAATAGAATTATTTTTTTAAGCAATGTATAATTTAAGAGAGAGATTCTTTTCAAGATTTTTATTTTTATATTGTTTTTTTTCTTGAATAAATTTGTAAGGGCGGTAATTTAACCGTTGCCCAAAAAAAAAAAAATATGCACTTAATAGGTGGTTTGAGCCTTTGAGGTCACTAAACCAAAAAAACTAAGTGTTTTATTTTTATATTGTTTTATTATTAATAGTTTAATAATTTTAATATCTGAAGTAATCTTTTTAAGAATAATGCTATTGCGGCCGAAACCTGTCATGCCGACGGAAGGCCGAGCGGACGTGGCAAGTTTGATTCCTGGTTCTGGCGTAACTAATTTAAAAGCCCTCAAATTTATAGGATTATAACTTTTTAAGTTCCTATATTTAAAAGACATCATTTAAGTCTTTCAGATCAAACAAGATTACTTTAATTTAGGGCATTAGGGTTTAGTCATTGTAATATTAGGAATTAGATTATATTTTTAGGGTTCAAGGTTTAAGATGTTAGAATTTAAATTTTTTAGGGTTTAGATTTTTTTAAATTAAATGTTTGTTATGTTAATTAGGGTTTAAATTTTTTAATGGTCAATATTTTGGAGATTAGAGTTTAGATTTTTTTTTTTTTTTAGATTAAGTGTTTAGGGTTTTAGGGTTTAATATTTAAGTAATTACGATTTAAATTTGTTGACTTCTATATTTCATGATATTAGAAGTTAGATTTTTTGGGTTATAGATTAGTTTAGATTTTTTCAAATTTAGTGTTTAATATGTTAGACTTTATATTTTCAAGATTTAAAGTTTAATATTTAAAAATTTAGGTATTCAATTATTTAAAAATTAAAATTGCAGGATAAAAAGTGAAATTTAAAATTTTAGATTTAAGAAGCAAAAAAAAAAAAAAAAAACTATAGGGACCAATTGGCTTTGGAGACCGATCAGTCCTTCTAGTGTTACCTTTTTTTTTATGTAGATTTGTAAAACCTAAATCTTTCTAAATATTAGTTTATTAGGAGTATTTTATTGGTATTTATTCTGCATTGAAAAATTTAGTCTTGACACTGATGTTTTTAATAATATTAGGTGGATCAGTGTAACGACTCAATTATAAAATTAATGCTATATTCTCAATGAGAAGCCATATTAAGTGGTAGCAAGTTTAAAAGCTCAGGTGTCAGAATTTTAATGTTATTGACCCTACTCGTGTGTATGTTGATTTTCTTTATGATTGAAAAATATAAAACCAACGTATATACTCTGTATTTTTTTTTGGCCACATGTATAATACTTTGCATTAAAAATAATATGAAATAAATAAAAAAGCTTATTAAATAATTGTTGATGCATCTCTTAATGCACAAAATAATGAAATCAAAAGTCTTTTTTTTTTTTTTGACCACTCAATATCCAGAAGCTCATTTAGGCCATCGACTAACTCGGATTCGAGTTGGGCATGATGCAACGAACTGTCAAGCTCTCCTCTACAAATTTTAACGGAATTGCATTTTTAGAGTTTGAAACCAAGACCTCTAATTAAGATAAAAGAGTTTCCTACCAATTCATCTATCTACTCGTAGGTTAAAAACAAAAGTCTTTAAGCTCAAGGATTTGTCTAAAATATGTATTTACAATTAATTTATATAAGAAGCATAAAAGTTTATTTTAATTTTAACTTTTTTGGTATGTAAATGATATTAATTGATTAATTAATTTAAGAATTTTTTTAACTTATATCATAAGAGAACATATTAGTAGTGAATTTAATGTAATTTTTTATAGTATTAATTAATATAAAAAATAAAATTTGATATTAATTTTAATAATTATTTAATTAAATTTATTTAAGTAACAATTATATTAATATTAATTTTAATTTTTATATCTTTTATATAAATTAATACAAAAAATGCAATAAATATACCTTAAAAGTATAAATTTAAAAACTTTAAATTAAATAAAAATTAATATTTATATATTACATTCTTAACCTAACACAAATTAAAACCGTAACCCAAAATTAACGTTGTACCACGAAGTAATGTGGAGTAGCATTTTCAATGATTAACTAGAATCCAAATCTGACGTTGTTAGGTGCCCTGCTCCACACGCGAAACTAACCTGCCGTAAAGCAAACTCGTCATTCCGTCATCGCCTTGTTTTTCTCAACTTTTGTGAGAAATTTCCCGTGCAATCCTTAACCTTTTAGGTGGGGAAAACTTTACTAACGATATGTTAATTTTAAATAAATTTTTAGGTTTAAGTTTTTTGAATAAAAAAATAGACATTGGTAGATCTTTTCTCTATTAGAATTTGACACGATTTTATTTTAAATTAATCAAGATCTAATATAATTATTAGATACTGAGTGGTTAATATATATAAAAAAAAATTTAGGTACCTATCCTAACAATAATATAGAGATAGTTTTTTATATAATATTTATATTTTATTAAATTAATGTATATTTAATATTATGAATTAAAAAAATTTATTTATATAACATATAAAATTATACTATTTTTTTTTTTTGGTTTCCCGCCCGGTATCCGGGGTTTCGCCCCGACTACTCCAGACTCGACCAGCTGTAGCGCACCAGAATGGTGGGTAAGTCTCCCAACGAAAGCTGCTGCGTACACAAGGTTTCGAACTCGAAACCTTACTTAAGCTGGAACAAGCCGCTTGCCACTTGATCCAACCCCTCGTTGGTATATAAAATTATACTATAAAATAATATAAAAGAGTCATTCCCAAATCATTTTTTCAGAACTTACCCCCCAGCAAGCCGTTAGAGGCTTCGTGGCACCAATTGATTTTTTTTTTTTCCTTTTTTAAGGTTAAGTTTATTATTAGTCCTTACTTTTAATAATTTAAATTCATTTTAGTTCTTTTATTTTTTTAAAGTTAAAATCAATTCAAACTCATGGTGTTAGAATTTAAAATTTTTGGAGTTCAAATTTAGAATATTAGGATTTAGATTTTTTAAGATTTAGTGTTTACATTATTTTAAAGTTTTGTGTTTAATATGTTAAGGTTTAGATTTTTTAAATTCAATATCTTATGGTTTTAGAGTTTAAATTAAGACTTAATATTTAAAAGATTTAAGTGTTTAATAATTTTAAAATTTTAAAATTAAAAATTACATGATTTAAAAATAAAACTAAAAAATATCAAATAAAAAAGTAAAAATAAAAAAGTAATAGGAACTAATTGGCCATGGAACTAATGGATCCTTATAGCATTACTCTTGTAAGTATATTTCAATGAGGACTGCACCCTATCGATTGTTGATGTTACATCTCAACTTCATTCAGATAATCAAAGTACTCAAAATGTGTTTGATTTAATTGATTTTATTTATTTATAATGTTTTTTTAAATAAATGTTTGAAAATATTAACTTATAAGATATGATTAGAAAATCTCAATTTTATTTGTTCTTATCAGAAATTATTTTTATTTTCTTACAATTTACTCTACTACTATTAATTATAAAATATTAGTATTTATCAACTGAACCTAAAAAGGAAATTAAGTAAAAAATACTTGAAATAATGTCATTTCAATAAATTATTAAGAAAAAAAACTAAAATAATCTCATTCATACTTTAAAATTAAAATATTTTATTCTTTTTTAATAATTTTTTTTTAAAAAAAAATGTAGTTTTGATGTTTTTTTTTTTTACTTAAATTTTTGTAAATCCAATTAATAAAATTTTTTTCTAATTATAATTTCTAATATAATTTCATTTACTCTAATGAAAAACAAGTGAAATTTGTATCTATATTCTATACTATCTAAAATGATTTATAAAGGCTCATTAAGGGTAGTCACAATAATTATAAGAGGTAAGTTATCCAACTGAATCAAACCCAAAACATCAGGGACTATATAACAAATTTTCCTGTCTTTTTTTTGTTTTTTTATACAGTTTTCGTCCCACCATGCATCTGAATCTGATTGGAGGAGGCATAGATGAAATGTAGACAAATGAAGACAAATGAAGTCCAAATTCACATGAAATGAAGTCTAGTTCATTGGCAAATGCTATATATACATGTCTTCTCCTCCAGAGCGACCCTGTATAGTGAACTCATAAGCAAACAGATTGGCTTTGTTTTTAATTCTCTTTTTAGTTCTGTTTTCTTCTGTTCTACGATCAAAATTACGTAGAATAAATATTGTTTGTAATTGTATTACTGTTTTTGGTTTTTAGAATTTGCTAGGTGTTTGTTGTTTCTTGAATGGCGAAAGGCCGGAGATTGACGACGAGTAGAAGCGACCGGTTTTTAGGAAGCTATGACAATGGGTATGCCGCAGGGGAGAGCTCGACGGTGGGGATTGAGCTTGGGGAGGAAGAGGTGTGGTCGATGGAGGATGAGGTGTCGGACCGGAATGATTCAATCGGGAATAACTCTCAGGGTGAGTGGAGCCCGGTGGAGAGTAATGAGAGCGCGTCGACGGGGTCGAGGAGGAATCGACGAGTCCATCGGAGTGATCGAAACGTGGGTGGGCTGTCCTTGGCTTTCGAAGATTCCTCGACGTCATCGTCGAGGATCGTGCGCCAGGTCAGGAGTCAGGAGGGCGTGGCGGTTACGCCACGTGGGCAGCATCACATGGCCACGTCAGCCCCCGTGAATGTGCCGGACTGGAGCAAGATTTACCGCGTGGACTCGGTGGACTCGGTGGACTCGATGCATGACTCGGATGACGGGTGCGACGACGATGATGACTCAGTGATGGTGCCACCGCACGAGTACTTGGCTAGGAGCAAGAAATCCGGCGGCGCTTCGGTGTTTGAGGGCGTCGGTCGGACCCTCAAGGGCCGTGACTTGAGACGGGTTAGGGATGCAGTCTGGAACCAAACAGGATTCGACGGCTAAAACCGCCAACCGCCACCAATTCAATCAAAGGCACGCCAATATTTCTTATTGTTTGAACTTTGAAGCCACATATAATTTTTTTTTTTTTTTTTGGTATCTTGATAAATGATTCAGCCGAGTTGACTCAACTGAGTTAACTCAGCTGCCACTGAGCCCAAGCATGATTTTTGCATTATATCGGAATTTGGGTTAGAAATGAAGAAATGATTTTCAGACAAAAGAAACAAGTTCGATGTTTAGTGGTCTGTCCAAATTTGCAATAACTTCCAAATTCTCTTCGCGTAGACATTTTTGTCACTTAATTGCACATTAAATTAATGGTTTGGTCAATAGCCAACAATGTTTAACGCTTATAAATTAGTAAGAAATTAAGTACCTTGATCCGATGTGTAATATTTAACAAATCAAAATGTCACAATTAGTTTTTGTTTGATTGGATTTTTTATAATAGAGATATAATTTTACCACTTCATACCAAAATCTCTCGCAATATTTAAGTGTATCTTATGTAACATTAAATAGGTAAATTAGGCCGCACAGATTTGTATATTATTTAATAAGATAAAACTCTTTTATTTGACTATTTATTGTCAATTATAATAACTTCTAACTAAGCTAAATATGAGTATACACCCATTTCAAAATGAAATATAGTAAGAAAAGAAAATCAAAATACTCAAATTTTTATTTTAAAAATATATTATTTTAATTTTATTAATAAAAATTTATCAAAACAATTTTTTTTAAAAGTGTTTTTCTCCTAATTTATTAGATATATAATTAATAAAGACTTTTCTTTCTATAATAATAGAATATAGTTTTCTCAAAATTTCTGGCAAAGACCCCTCTCTAATAGTAGTTGATTTTAACCATAAAATAGAGGATTAGAGAACGAAAATATGGAGGTAGCAAAGTTGACAGGGTGAATTCCAAAATGAATAATAATTGTTGGGGGGACCAAATAAGGGAAGGTTGCTTTTGAGGGAAGGCGACGGATGGCGAGAGGATAGTGCCACTGTAGCCGATGGCTCGCCTTTTTCTAGAAAATGACTCGAAAGTGGCAGGGTCCAATACCTCTCTTGACGGGGCTCAACAGGCACTAGGCTTAAGAGCCATTCGTTTTTTTAAATTTTACTCGACTTTGGGTATTGAGAAGGGCCCAAATTCGTTGTCTCCGATTTCATCATTCTGGGTTTGTGATTATTCAATCTTGACATGACTTCAGAGAGGGAAACACCCAAATCGTTTTCATAATACGTAAATCCTTTGTCTTGAATATGGATTTGTGTTTTTCTTGAATGGTTAGCAAGGTTTAGAGGGTCATTTTCTCCCACAAAAGTATGAATTAATGTAACATTTACTTGTACATGACACCTATTGTATATTTTCAATCATGATAATTATTATTTCGTGACATCTTATCATCTACAGATTTTTTTCCCTTATTTGGATGGTTGTAGTAGTGTTTTTAAGGTAATGTATATCTTATGATAAATTTTTTTCAAAAAAATTTAAAGATACAAAAACCCTCACATCAATCTATTATATTCAAATAAATAAATAAACTTCCTCAGCTGCATTTGGTTGTTGGATTGTTGTAATTATGGATGGTTGAGGATTTATAGTGGAAATTGTGATTTATAGGACGAGTCAATCCCATCTCCTTTAGGAGGGTTTTGAAAGACAATTAATAGTATTTGGACTACAGGGCTGGTCTTTGGTCTCAAACTTGAATACCAAGAGAATGACTAATATTCAATTCATGTCAAGAAGGAAGGACTAAAGTGGTAAAATGATAATTTCTTTTCAGTATAATAAATTTTTAATTTGAATCATATGACATAAGAATGAAATTAAATAAAAGAATAGTTGTCGCTATGATCAACGAAAAAAGAAAAAAAAAATGCAAAGGCAAAAAAGTATACACTTCGTGAATTTGGCAAAAACATAACATGACCTTTTACTTTACTAAATTTATAAGTTTTAGCCTTTCAATTTATACTATGAAACTTTAAATCCCTTACCTATTAGAATAAAAAAAAATAACCCTCACTTTATAATATTTCAGTTAGTTCTTCTATTAACTTTGTTAATTGAAAATAAATTTTTATCAATTAACAGTTAGTTAATAGTCAATTAATAAATTTAATTGTCAATTAATAAACTTAACAATCAACTAATAGAATAATTCTGTTAATTAACTGTTAACTCTATTAGTTGAAAATAGGTTTTTACCAACTAATAGGTAACTAATAGTTAATTAATAAAATTAATAGTTACTTAATAAAACTAACAAAATGTTATAAGTGAGAAGTTAAAAGTGTCGTAATATAAGGGGAAGAGTTAAAAGTTACAAATCTAATAAGATAAAAAGTTAAAATTATGTTTTGTTGTGAAATATCTATTTCTTATTAACACAAACAGTGCTAGTGGGCTACACCGACAAAATTAATGGACTCTGGAAGGGCTCGACTAATAAGGCCTCTTCACGATCCGTTATAGATTTCTCTTTCTCTAACTCACCTTTGGACCCATGGGCCAATGGCCACCATATGGCTCACCCACCCAGACCCAGTCTCGGCAAAAGCCTTGGCATGTAATAAAGATGATTATTTAAAATAATCTAAAACCCTAACATGCTAAAACTAATTTTTAATTGAAAAAAATATATATCAATCTTAACTTCTAAAAAATTTAAAGTTCTACCCTCAAATTATGATCATTTTATTTAATTAAAA